GATCCTTGAGGTCTTTTCCAACCTTGGTGATTCTATGATTCTATAAGTAGTAATGGAGTGTCAGTGTCTTTGGTCAGTGGATAGTTTCAGACAATGAAACTGTTGAAACTAATTGGGTAATGCTGATCCCAGATCAAAGTGGGGAAAATAAGCATTATCACAGTTTCCCATAATTAAGAGATTTGTTGTAAGTCCTCTGCCAACAGGGTAAGCCTTGGCACTGAACCTATGCAGTAATAAAAAATAGGAATTCTTGCCATGCCTGGTTTCTGTTTGTGGCTGGGATGCTAAGATCCTAATGTTAAGTGTGGGAGAATAGAAGACTTCAATTTGCTGTTGCTTTCAGTTTGAGTCCTGTCAATTTATCAGTCAGATTATGTAGTTACTTGGGATTTTCTTCTTTGCGTGTATGAACCTGCTAAGTTAGACCCAGTAGCAGATCACTGTGCCATTTGTTACTATTCTGTATAAATATACACATTATTATTGCACTGCAGATGCTAAAGGGAAAGTTCACGCTTTCTCTCCCTCTTCGATCCCAGCCAACCACAATGACGAGCTGCGTCTGACATTTCCCGTGAGAGATGGTGTTGTACTGGAGCCCTTTCGGCTGGAACACAACCTGGCAGTCAGTAACCACGTATTTCACTTACGACCAACTGTTCATCAGACTCTGATGTGGAGGTAAGCTCAGCCTTGCTGCAAGGAAGTCTTGCACCCCATGATGGAGGAGTGGAAGGCCAGAGGATATTTGTTTAGGTTTGCCAGGAATTTCACTTTTAAAGTTGTGGCCTAGATAGGAGAAATGCCCTTTAAACTCACAGATATTCTCACCTGTCACTTTCCAAAGACAAAACATTCTAAAAGTCTTCCTGATCTGTGTTGCTTCTCCTTGCTGATAGCATTAGACATGCAGTGTTTGAAAAATCACTGCAGCTGTTCTGTCCTTTCTGCTCTGGGTGGAAGGGGTGTGGGATGTGCATGACCAACACTAGTACAAACTTCCATTTGGGAGACTCTGAAGTCCTAGGTGCTTCGTGGCCTTTGAGTTGCAGGAGTAACTATGCAGGGCTGTTACAGTTTATGCTTAAATTAAATGGTTCAGAGTATCTGATAATGAAAAGTAACACACTAATGAAGGACCTGATTTAGAGGCTTGGTAAAATCATTTGTAAGGACTTGTGCTAAAGTGCTTAAATCCTCCAAATTTTAGAAACTAACTTCCTAAATTCCCCCTCTCCTGTGATTCCATAAGTAAGGACAGGTCAGAAATATCAGAGCATAGCTTTCCACATACAAAGGCTTCTGGTTTTCACTTAACAGCAAGTACCACTTTCCACCACAGAGGAGTAGTTTTCCTAGGTGGTACTTTCCTGCATTTAATGTAGATCCACATAAGTGATTCCAGGTTATGTCCTGATTCCACCATGCACATGGAAGGGGTTTAGATCAAGTGACAGTCAGAGCCTCAATTTTTTTTAATTTGTATATTTTCAAATGGCATGGAATAATCTCATCTCCTCATTCTGTTTTTCTCAGAAACCATCTCAGTGTTTATCCTGTCTGCTGACTACATTGTTTGAGCCTGTCTCTGTGCACTGTGGAGGCTGGTTAGTTGCTCACAATCTTGTATGGAGGTTGTGTCACAGGTGTAGCAGCTGAGATGGTAAAATGCAGCATCTTAGGCACATTTCCCGTTATGCCTGCCTCACTTTCCGTTTTTTTCTGAGCCTGGACCACATACCCCCAAGCTTAATGGGAGTGATAGCTTGTAGCTTCCGCTTTTTTACCTGTGAGGATCTTCCTCCCGTTCACTGGAATCCACTTGAAACTTCTATTTTCATGGTGTGGAGGGTGTGAGGTGGGCAGAGGGCTGTGCTCAGTTCCCTGCCGCAGGGTCATACTGGCTCTGAATTCAGCTGAGGCTTGATGAAGGAGTCCACGCTGCCATGGTACCCCACTACTCTGAGGTAGCCTCAGGGTTGGAAGGGAGGGAGATTACAAGCAGACCACAACCAATAATTAACACCTAACTTTGAGGTCACTTATTGCTTACTTGGATTTCATTATCACGGGCTACTCACAGCAGAGGGAGCTTTGGCAGTTATTTGCTGGTTCTTATTAATAAGTAATCATTACTGGGGATTGTGCTGGCTCATTCAGTAGATTTATAGTGCTGCACTGAGGCATGAGGCTGTTTCTTAATATCTGTTCTTTCTTTCTTCCTTAGCTCACCAAACACATAGCCTTTATTTAAACTTATTTTAATGAAGACTCATAGGTAAACTGTGCTCAGGTCTGCTGTTTTGAAAAGGTTGTTAATAGCGGGGAGAATGGATGGTCCTGTAATTAAGTCATTTCACATTTAACTCAGGGCTGGATGAATTCCAGAAAAATGAATTAGTCACATGTGTGGATGGATTTTGGTTTTATAGAGAATGGTGGAATTGAGCCAATTCTTAATATTTGTCTGCCAGTTAAAATATTCAGCAAAACCTTTCACATGTACACACATAATGAATAGCAATGCAACTATTTTTCTTCCCACTGGGAACTTTTCATGGTTACAAGAAACATAAAAGTTGAAGGCAGGGAAAATGTCACCTTGAAGCTGGTTCAATCTTAGCACTACTCAGTTATTAATAGCGTCCCACAGTGGAGACAGTGCATGCTAAGAACATGAGGGTCTCCTGAGCTCTGTCACCACTCTGTGACTTTCAGCAGACTTGCTCAGAGTCCTTGGGAACACGCTTAGTCTGCTTGGGTTTTATATCAGAGGTAGCAAGCCTTGCTTCCCTCTGGGTTTGAGTGACTGTTCTTATGAGCTGAGAATCTCTAGTGGATCTTGGAGAGACAGCTTTCAAAAAATTATTACTAAAATACTGAAAAAAACCTGGAAAGACTTAATATAGATGGATTATATTGAAAGGTCAGGTAATTTGTATTCTATACCTTTCTTTTAAAAAAAACCCATGTTTTTATCCAGTGCTCAATCTTGATGTTTTGAAGTCCAGAAAAGATGATGTTAAGTCAGAATTTAAATCTCTGGGTTTGGATAAGGCAAATGGCAGTTAAGTTGATGATCTCCTGGATAAGCTGTTCCTCATGGATCTTACAAAGATACATTCCTTCAGGCAAGATGAAGAAATGAGCACGTAGATTTTTCAAGCATAAAAAATAAACATTCAACTGTCTTTTGCTGCCATGAACAGCAGAATCTTGACATTTCAGTTCAATTCTTCATGTTATTTTACATTTCTTCAAATTACTTATTCCTAACACAAGGTTAACATCCATGTACGAAACTGAAGTCATAGTCTCTATGCACTTAATTTGTGATTAATCTCAGCCTCTTCCCTTTTTGGAGGTGTTATAAAACTAATTTTTAAGGAGCTAAATAGTGTGTTGAAGTTATTATTGGAGAAGTGGGAGGAATTTGTGCTCTGAAAGAAGGTCTAAATTGGGTAGATGTAATCCACAGCTTTGTTAATTTGGAATCACAGAAACACGGGGTGTGAGAAACAGGGGTTGTTTTATCGTAGTTGATTTACCTGTTCCAAGGCAGGATTAGCTGTACCTGTATTTTGTCTGACAACTGTTCATTCAAATGTTCTTTTAAATGCTCTCAAGTGGTGAAGAATCCACAGTCTTCCAGCACAACCCACTTCAGCATATCACTTTTTGTTCTTAACACACAGGAAACACCTACCTAATGTTAATATTTTTCTTTCCGCAGGATTATTCTGTGGTCTAGTTTTGCAAAGTGGTTTGAGATGCTCCCTTGGAAAGTCCCTTATAAGTGTAAAATATTAACAACTTTGTGACATACTTGCATCGTTAGTTCATCATGACTTGCTTCTGTTAAGGGCTTTTATGAGGAAAGTGTTACATCCTTTACTGACAGTAATTCTAGAAGAATAATCTGATTGATAAAGAAAAAGCATTCCTAGCATCAGAACGACCTCCCACTGCAATGTGAAAGTAAAGTTAAAGGAAGATTTATTGGTTGTTGTACAGGTCTGACTTGGAATTACAGTTCAAGTGCTATCACCATGAAGACAGACAAATGAACACGAACTGGCCAGCTTCAGTCCAGGTCAGCGTTAATGCAACCCCACTTACCATCGAACGTGGCGACAACAAGACATCTCATAAACCTCTGCACCTAAAGCATGTCTGCCAGCCAGGAAGAAACACGATTCAAATTACAGTCACAGCATGTTGTTGTGTAAGTACACTGAGCTCATGGCTGCAGCTGCTGATGCCAAGCTTGCTATTTAGTAGAGTTTGCAAACATTGCCTTAGCTGGAAAAACGTTACTCTCAGTTTTTTCTGTGCGTTTTTCTGCTAAGATGCTTGTTTCATGATGTTGACACAGTCAGAGTGCTAATATGGAAATTTTTGCTGCTGAATTGTTGCAGAATATAGTGGTGTCCTTCCAATGTGTCTGGAAAGTCTTGTGGTCTAGAGAAGGGAATTTGATCTCCTACCTATTTAGCATGTGCCTGTGTAACAAGGCGGCTAAAGCGTATTCATGGAGATTATTGTGATGCAGACTGTTGTCCAGTACTAATTTCATTTACTTGGGGTATTAAACTGGTTTTGGTTATGCATGAGAACATCAACACCGCAGCTGGTGGTGGTGGTGATGATTTTTCAAATAGGTTTTCAGATGAAAGACTCATATTCCATGCTGCAGTCTAGACCATGTAACTTTCTCCTTTTCCATGGTTTAGTTACTTTCAGGTACAAGTACTGTATTTTTAACGTAGACATTTGCACACGTACAGTCTGAGGTTTTGACTATTCTGTTGTCACTGACAAGAAAGCAAGTTGTTGTCTCTCCCAAGGTCGCAGTGTGAGGCACTTCGACAAGAAGCCATTCACCTGTTTTGCCTTACTTCAAACTGATGTTTCTCTGCATAATGTCATTTATCTGGTGGATAAGCGTAGGGGGCAGCATCCTGTGAATCCACAACGAGCTCTGTGTTGGGGAAGAAGATTCAGTTGCTTCCAGACACATCAGTAGCAAATTGGTTTTTGTAACTTGCAGCATAGTCTGAGGACAGGCAGGTAGGCTAGACTGTGTCAGGGAATCCAGGGTTTAAAAAATAAACCCTGATGTCAGGAATTAATATGTCAGCCCTATATATTCTGAATATTAAGGAGGGAGAAAATGCAGAAAATCTTTGCTTTTTTTGAAGCCTTTGTATATATTATGGTCCTGGAGCACGGAACAACATAGTGCGCCGTGTGTAGAATATCCCTAAGGGAGCATGTGTGCGCAGCAGAGCAGAACCAGCTTTTGCATTCAAGCATCCAGCTCTTGGAGAAGCCACGTGTCCAAGGGAATAATGCAGCTCTGTTCAGCAGTGTGTGTTTAGTTCTCTTGGTAACAGAATGTGTTTTCTTTCAGTCACACTTGTTCGTGTTGCAGTTAGTACACCGGCCATCAGTTCGCTCTGTACTTCAAGGTCTACTAAAGAAACGCCTCCTCCCAGCAGAACATTGTATCACTAAGAGTGAGTTTTCATTTTGTGTGGGTGATGACTTCCCAGAATGCCTACATTCTGTTGTGTTAAGCTACTTCTGCACAAGATTTATTTGCTTATTGAAAACCTTAAGCTGTACTTGTCAGGAATGTCCAGAACATCATGTTGCGTAGATTAAATCCTTGGTATCGTCAAACTATTGAGGGCTGTTTGGGTGGCAGTAACAAAGTACCAAGGATGCAAGCTTACTTCTTGATGAGGACTCTTCCATTCCAGGAGAATCTCCCTGGCTTTTCCACCATATTTACTTGTGACTTACTTAAAAGCCCTTTGTAGAAAGATTATTTATTTGTTTAGGGCTGCTTTAAGTGCTTATATGGCACTTGATTTGGTTGAGGGTATAGCTGATGTGCATGTGTGTGATGGTTTGTCTGTTCAAGAGGATGTTCTAAATTATACGGAACACACCTTTGTGGATAAATTGTACATTAAATTGGCCCTTAAAGGTTGAAGTGTTGGTCTTTCAGATTTCTGTGTTAGAATTTGCAGTACATTTGTATTTTCTCACACATAAGCATACCTTCTTCCTAAACAGTAAAGAGGAACTTCAGTAGTGTAGCAGCTTCCTCTGGCAATGCAACACTAAATGGGGAAGATGGAGTAGAGCAAACTGCTATTAAAGTGTCTCTGAAATGTCCGATCACATTCCGGCGGATTCAGCTCCCAGCAAGGGGTCATGATTGCAAGCATGTACAAGTGAGTAGATGACAGTAGCCTTGCAGTATTCCCTCGGCCATGTGTTGTTACAGTACCTTTAGCTTGGTTATTATATAAGAAAGTCTAATGAAATGGGATTTCTTTGTGGCTATCAACCTAAGTAATTAACTATATATATGTTTAATGTAGAGGGACAAAGTAAGTTATTTGTTTTAGTTTTCAATGCTAGTAAGCTTTTTTTGGAGGAGTTATACTTTTATCCAACTGATTCAGTTAATACCATATTTTCCCTTGATTTTCTCTTCTTTTTTTTCTCTCTTTTATGTTTTTTTCCTTTGTTTCTTTCTGATACCTAGTGCTTTGATCTGGAATCTTACTTGCAACTGAACTGTGAAAGAGGAACTTGGAGGTGTCCAGTATGCAAGTAAGTGCAACCGTACTACATGAAATGCAATACGCATACAAATAGCATGTACGCTATTTGAGCAAATTCAGATCATATTTAAGGTCATCAAGGGGAGAAAAAGGAAGTGCTATGTAATAAGGTGTATGTATTACATTTACCTAATAGCATAAAGTCTATGGAGGGAACACCCTGGATTGTTAGAAATTTTAAAACAAATAACAGCAGGTAGTTTCTCACGAAAAACATAATCTGCAAGCTCTCGTTACAGACTATCGATGGGTTGTGTAGAGTTCAAAAGATGCTCAAATATTTACATTGATAAGACAGATATCTACACAAGCAAATGAACTGGGAGTTTGTCTTCTGCTAGATTATGAAGTATGAGCAACTACCAGACAACAACATGCCGTGGCAAAAGAAGAGATTTTGGAGTTATTTTTGTATAATTTTAATGTTGTAATGCCCAAATCACTGAACTTCAAATATGTAGATATAAAATGTTCAGCATCCAGCTGAACATTAAGTAAGGATGCCAACTAACTGTCTCCAGTACTGTGCTTTGAGTCACATAGATCTGCAGTTAACGGCAGTGCTTAAGGAGAGGGGGAATTTTGGAGACTGCAACATTTCCCAGTAATTAGATAGGAAATAAAGTTGGATCCTCCAAGGTCAAAGTTGACATCAAGTGCAAACTAAAGTGAGAGCAGAAAGCAGCAAGGATTCCAGTCCAGGATAAGGCTGATTTTAAAAAAGCTGAAAATTTCTGAGGAGCAAAAGCTTGGAGTGATTGCTTAAGGGAAAAGAGGGATACCTTGACATACTTTCAACCTTATGTTTTGACCAGACAGCTAGTATACTGCAGAAGAAATGGAACAAAAAGCTTTCAAGTGGTTGCAGACTGCCCATTCTTATGTTTAACTGGGCAGAAAGAATCGCAGAATGTCTGCAGGCCAGTTCAGTGTCTGTAACCTACTGTGCTCAGCCCACAGGGTTATGAGTTTGTTCCAGCCTCAGCTGAGGACCCAGGACTCTTGTTTAAGTTTAAGCAGCTGTAGCAGCTTGTACTTTATCTCTGCAAGTCTCCAGTTCGATCCCTGCTGCGCCAGCCTATGTTAGCTATGAACAGGAGTGGAGATTATCCATTCTGTCTACTTCTGTGGATGCTGCAGGCTTGAGATGAGCTTGCTGCAATGACTATCCGTGATTGATACATATCCTGAAGTGCAGATGCTTTCTCTGAACTACCTGAATCTTTTCTGTCTAAGTTCAGCTAAAAATATTACAAGAATTGTATGTCTTGCTTCTTGATTTAGGTATTCACACATCCAGGCCAAAATTTTTGTTCTGTTTCTCTGAGTATGAGCACTTGCGTTCAGATCTGAGTGCCTACATAACTAAATCATTTCCATTTTTGTTTTGTTCTGTCCCCATCTGTGCTGATCTTTAAGTAAAATAGCTATAATATGTAGTTACTTTGAAGCCATGTTACTGTGTAGCTTGAAAAAACCCAAAGATCCAATTTGAAAAAAAATTAAAAAATAGCACTAGCTGATGTTCACAGGAAAGATCTGCTATATTTGAAAAGCCTTTAAATTTGCAATATATTTCACTAAAAAAATTATTTAAAGGATGCAAACAGCTTGTGGACACACACAAGTAGATGTATCCTTATCTCATCTATTTGATGTAGAATAGTATTATCGTGGTAATGCAGGTGTAGAAGTAAAACTGTTTGCCCAAATCATTCCTAAATTATGTGTTACAGATAGTAAGTTGGTGAATCCCAGTCTCCAGGTTTGATCCCTAACCTATCCTTCTTCCAGCCCTCTTTTTCGCATGTGTAGTAATATTCTAATATGGTGTTTGGTTGAGTTTTTTTTTCGTTTGTTTCTAGTAAAACTGCTCTGCTGGAGGGCTTGGAGGTTGACCAGTATATGTGGGGTATTCTGAACGCTATACAAAAGTAAGTGAACTTACTAATTTCTGATATCCCAGACTAAACAACTAGGAGATATGTTAATGAGTACTGAGATAGTCATGCTGAAGTAGGTCTTAGTGATTGAACTTGAATATTCTATTTCATGCCTTCTTGGTGGAGCTAGTGATACAGTGAATCAGTTTCCGTCTACTTAATAAATCTCATTTGGGTTATCTCTTGATGGCAGCCTCACCAATGAAGCAGAGGGAAGAGTGAGAATGGAGGATTAAATGCTTTCCCATGCTTACAAGTAGTCCCTCTGATTCACATGTGGCAGACCACGTTTGTATTTCACTGTGTGGATAAACACAGAAATGTGCTCTCACAGTTGCTTTTTAATACTTACTTTCGGCATACTCTTGGTGAGTGAAAGATCTTGAGGCTGTATTATACTGAAGCTTTTCAGAACATTTGTTACCATTCAGGTTCTTATGGAAACTTCAGCATAATTGATTAAAAAAAATAATGATCAATTAATATGCTAAAATTTTCACATTATCTTACAGCTCAGAGTTTGAAGAAGTTACCATTGATCCAACTTGCAGTTGGAGGCCGGTCCCTATAAAGTCAGATATTCACATCAAAGATGACCCAGATGGCATTCCCTCAAAAAGATTTAAGACCATGAGTCCAAGCCAGATGATCATGCCAAATGTGATGGAGATGATTGCAGCTTTGGGCCCTGGCCCATCACCTTACCCATCCCTTCCCCCTCCTCCAGGAGGCAACAACTCCACTGAATATGGTAACCAAGGTTAGTTCTACAGCCTTGTGCACCCAGGTGGTCACTCTAGAAGTCAGAGGTTCAGTCAGCTTTGTGATTCAGGTACCTCAATCTATCTTCTCAGAGAGATGCATAAGGAAAGCAAATTACATGGCTGCAATTTTGAAATTCCGCATAAGTTTTTTTATTAAAGATTCATGTATTTAGAGGGAAATATATTTTAGTAAGGAAATAGGTGCTTGTCATATTTATTGCCATGCAGCCCTCCCTGAATCAACAAACATTATATGTTATCTTATATATTCATGGCCTGCCACAATATACATCTTCCCTCATTTTTTCTGTCCATTTTCCATCTGTTCCACTCTCATTCAAGTGAAGGCTCCTGGTGCTACAGAAGTTATAAAGTGAAGAACCTGTCCCATTAACCCTGTTACATGGGCCACATGTTTAACTTGTGGCCAGGTGGGTGATATTTGGTAGTCCATCCTGAAAGCGGATTACTTTTAAAGAACTTTTAACGAGCTTTTAACTGTTTCGCCAACACCTTTGCATTAGAAAATTACTTTTGAATTCCTCTACCCATGTGCTGCCAGATTGAGAAACAGGGAACTAAATACAAGCAGTGGAGACACATTTTCAAATGGCTGGTGTATTGTGAATAACTCAATTATAGTGACAATTCTGAAAATATGAAATGCAGAGACTATTTCTTTTGCAAGTAATATGATATGACTCAGTTCAGCTCTGGGAAAAGACCAACTGTTCACACCATCAGAATCCTCAAATTGATTACAAGGTGGTATATGTGCTTTTTGCAGGCGTTTGAAGAAAAATATAGATTGCACACAAAATATGGTTAATTTGCTCCAATGACTGCAAAACTGATAACAGATGATAAAACTTTTTAGGTTTTCAAACAGATGAATGATTACTATAACAAAGCCAAGAGCACTGAATCACAAATTTTTCACTAGTTTAGTAAGAGTGAAGTGCAGTCAGAGCATTAGAACAGAGCCATCTAGTCTTCATCATCTTTCTAGCTTGTGATCAGGAAAGAACAGGGTTGTCATGTAAAGTGAGGTTTAGGGTTTGTCTAACGATTGCTGCCTAGACTGTTATTTCACTGCCTTTCCCTGTGGATCCTGTAGCAGAGGTAGTCATCGCTTTTCGGAGCTCTGACTCATCAACGTTAGGTGAAACCCACACTCCCCTATTTCCCCTGCAGTAGTCATACCAATGCAGAGCACCAAATTATCCTAAATGTCTTGACAGATCTGTCCCTCAGCATGTGGCACAACTGTTGCCCCAGAGAAGGGCATGCTGCTGCATGGCTATAACTCCCTGGGCATACTGCCTTGCATCTTCATTCTCTGTCAATACGTGCACTGAAACTTAGTGTTTGGAATTAGATAATGTCCTCTGATTAACTCTAGAGCAAAGTACTAGTAATATTACTACTGTGGTTTATGTTTATTTATTTGGGTTTGACAGTAAGCATACTTCAGTTTAATTTGCGAATATAACAAGTACTCAGTAATACAAGACCATATTCCAGCTCCTTGCTATTAAATTTTTCCTGAGAAGCAAGGCAAGACCAACTATATTCTGTGAGACTCATCCAGTTTGCAGATTAACAAAATGAGAATTAGTAAGGCTCTGCAGTATTTACATGATAGATCAAAGTCCTGACTTATTTGAGAAATACTCTTATATGGCTAATGACTTCTATTCCTCTGAGATTAAACTTCTGCTTCTGAAGCTGTGCTAAAGAGCAAGTGATGCAGCTACTTCAGTTTGTCAAACTCCCTTCTTGACTTGAACATTTAAAGCTGCTGTACTTCAGCTGATGAACTGCAGGCTCTTCGTGCAAGCTCCAGAGCTTTTCTATAATTTCAGAGCTCAGTATCATCCAATTCAATTGCTTATACGAAAAAGCTAAGTGGCTTTAGTTCAGTTTTTACTGTTCATAGCAAATAAGCCAACAGAGTTGGTATCTCAGTTGGAAATGCTAACAGAGGGATCTGGACAGAAAAAATACGGAGTGTAAATCCCTGTATCAGGATACATGCTTGCTTTAAAATTCAGGTGAAGATGACCGGGCTGAGGTGGGACGCATCAAAACATACTGACAATGGTATGTCCAAGTAGAATAGTACTTGTCCTGCAGATCAACATAGACTCCAGGCTTGTTGCTAGATGGTAGGTGTGTGAGGGTAAATCCATATAATTTATTCTGAATTGGTGTGGAATTTTGGTGCTTTGGAGGACATAATTTCAGGCTGAAGTTAGCTGGATTTCATAAATTCACTAGTTTTTCATTACGAGCATGCATATATACAGGCTGAAACACAGGCTACAGGCAGGCAGTTGTAACTCTGAAAATGAGAATCACAGAATCATAGAATGGCCTGGGATGAAAAGGACCATAGTGATCATCTAGTTTCAACCCCCCGACATATGCAGGGAC